TTGTGCTCGCTTCGGCAGCACATATACTAAAATTGGAACAAAGATGCTATCATTGTTTTATGGATAGCTTTTTCTAGAATGAATTTTTTTAACATTTAATTTTAATTTTTAAAAAATGTTCTTGGCAACATTTTTACTTTATTGAGATATGATTGACATTAACTTTGTATTAGTCCACGATGCATAACATACTGATTTGTGTTTATACAACAGAATGATCCCAGTAAGTCTAGTCAATATCTGTCACCTCACATGGTTACATTTTTTTTTCTTATGATGAGAACTTTTAAAGATCTACTCTCTTAGTGACCTTAAAATATACAATACAGTATTGTTGCCTACAGCCGCTGTGCTGTACATTCCATCCCATGACTTATTTATAACGGCAATTTGTAGCTCTTGACCACCTTCACCCATTCCCCCATCCCCCACCTCCTGCCTCTGACAACAACCAGCCTGTTCTCCGGATCTGTGAATTTGGTGTCTTTAGATTCCACCCATAAGTGAGATCTTACGATATTTGTCTTTCTCTAACTTATTTCACTCAACATAATGCTGTCAGGGTCCATCCACATTGTCACAATTGGCAGGAGTTCTTTTGTTTATGGCTGCCTTATAGATATATGTAATTAGTGTATACAAGTTGATGAGTGTGGGGAGAAGTCCCCACCATGAAGCCATCAGCACCATCAAGGATGTGCACATATCCATCACTTCCCAAAGTTTCCTCCTGCCCTTTTTATTATTATTTTTATGGCAACAACACTTACTTTAAGATCTAACCTCTTAAAAATGTTAAGGGTACAAAACAGTGTTGTTAGCTCTAGATCCCTAGAACTTATTTATCTCTCATAACTGAAACTTTGTGCCCTTCAACCAGTAACTCCGTATTTCCTCCCCCCACCCCGCCACCCTCCCCCACCCGCCCCAGGCTCTGACGGCCACCACTCTACACTCCGTTTCCATGAGTTGATGATTTTAGATTCCACATATGAATGAGATGAGATAGTATTTGTTTTTCTTGTTTTGTATCTCATTTAGTATAATGTCCTCCACACTCACCCAAGCTGTTGCAAATGACAGGATTTCCTTCTTTTTTAAGGTTGAATAATATAACACATTTTCATATATAGTGTGAGGTATTCATTTGTTAATGTACATTTCAGTTGTTTTCCTATTTTGGCTGCTGTAAATAATCTGCAATAAACATGAAAGTGCAGATATCTCTTCAAGATACTGACTTAAATTCTTTTGGATATATGCCCAGAAGAGTAATTAATGGGTCACATGGTAATTCTATTTTTAACTTTTTAAGGAAACTCCATACTGTTTTCCAGAGCGGCTGCACCAGCTTGCATTCCCACCAACAGTGTAAGAGGGTTCCTCTTTCTCCGCATCCTCACCAACATTTGTTATCTCTTGTTTTTTCAGTAATACCCATCCTAACAGGTGTGAGGTGATATACCATTGTGGTTTTGCTTGGCACTTCCCTGATAATGAGTGAGGTTGAGCACCTTTTCATATATCTGTTGGCTGTCTATATGCCTTCTTTGGAGAAATGTCTGCTCAGAGCCTTTGCCCATTATATACTCAGGTGATTTGGTACTTTGCTATTAAGTTGTAGTAGTTCCTTATGTATTTTGGATATTAACGCTTTACCATATATGTTTTACAAATATTTGTTCCCATTCTGTAGGTTGCTTTTTTCATTTTGTTGATTGTTTCTTTGCTGTGCAGAAGTTTTAGTTGGATTGTTTTTCTTTTGTTTCTTTCTTTGTTTTGGTGTCCTACAAAAAATCATTGCCAAGACAAATGTCAACGATTTTTTTACCTATGTTTTTTTCTAGGTGTTTTATAGTTTCAAGTCTTACATTTAAGCCTTCAATCCATTTTGAGTTGATTTTGTTTATGGTGTAAGATAAGAGTCCAATTACATTTTTTTTTTTTTGCATGTGAATATAGTTTCCCGGCACCATTTATTAAAGAGATCATCCTTTCCCCATTTTGTATTCTTGGTGCCCTTGTTGAAGATTATTTGAGTGCATATGATTTGTGTGAGTTTAATTCTGGGTTCTCTATTCTGTTGCAGTAGTCATTTTACTTCTCTTTATGCCAATACCATGCTGCTTTGATTACTGTGTCACATAATTTGAAATCAGAAGGGATGATCTAAAGATTGCTTTGGCTATTTAGAGTCTTTTGTGGCATATATGAATTTTTGGACTTTTATTTCTGTCTTTGTGAAAATACCATTAGGATTCTGGCAGAGATTGCACCTAAACTGTAGATTGCTTTGGGTAGTACAGACATTTTAACAATTAATTCTCCCAATTCATGAACATGGACTATCATCTCATTTAGCTGTGTCATTTTCAATTTCTTTCATCAGTCTGTTATAGTTTTTAGTGTATAGATCTTTCACTTCCTTGGTTAAATTCATTCCTAAGCATTTTATTATTTTTGATGCTCTTGTAAACGGGATTGTTTTCTCAGTTTTCCCCCTATAGTTAACTGCTAAAATATATATATATTTTATATAAATATAAAATATATATTTTATATAAATATATAAAACACACCCATTTTTAAATGTTGATTTTGTATCCTGCAACTTTGCTGAATTCATTTATTAGTTCTAAGTTTTTTGGTGGAATCCTTGGGGTTTTATATATAAGATCATGTCATCTGCAAACAGAAACAAATTTACTTCTTCATTTCTTATTGGGATACCTTTGATTTCTTTATTTCACCCATTGCTCTGCCTGGGACTCGAGCTCTCTGCTGAGTAGAAGTGGCGAGGGTGGTTTCTCACCTCAGAGGAAAAGCTTTCAGGTTCTCATGACTGAACGTGATGTCATCTGTAGGCTAGCCCTGTGTAGATTTTCTCATGTTGAGGCAATTTCTTCTGTACAATTTATTGAGGTTTTTTATCATGAATGGGGGTTGAATTTTGTCAAAAGCTTTTTCCATGTCTATTGAGGTAATTGTGTGGTTTGTATTCTTCATTCTATCAGGGGGTATGCCACGTTGACTGATGTGCAGATGGTGAACCATCCCTGATCCTGATGCGTGGTCCTCCTCATGTGCTCTTGAATTCAGTTGGCTAATATTTTGCTAAAGGGGGAAACATTGGAAAATACACAAATATGTGTAAATTAAACAGCATGCTTTTCAGCAACCCATCATTCAAAGAAGAAATCAAAAGGGAAATGAAAAAATCTTGAGAAATTAAAATGGAAACTTCTGCTAAACTTAATCTGTCATTAATCCCATTTAATGTAATTTTCAAATTGAAGCTTAATCAACAATTTGAGTTCAATTTGAGTGTTTTTAATATATTTCATGTTTTTTTAAAGATTTTATTTATTTATTCATTTGACAGAGAGAGAGAGCACAAGTGGGGGAGTGGCAAGCAGAGGGAGAAACAGGCTCCCTGCTGAGCAGAGGGCCTGATGTGGGGTTCAATCCCAGGACCCTGGGATCATAACCATAGCCAAGGCAGACAGTTAACCAACTGAGCCACCCAGGCACCCAATATATTCCATTTTTTGCAAAAAAAAAAAAAAATGTTCAACTGTTTCTCTAGTTTGTTGAACACATGAAATTCAGTCATAATAATAGGGCTAATATCCTCATCTGTGAATCCTATCAAATATATCATATCTGGATGACTTTCCCTTGGTGGGGTTTTCTTCTTATGATTGCTCACTAATTCCTGCCTCTTTGTATGTCTGCCATTGATGCTGGGCCTTGTGAACTTCCCCTTGTTGGACACTGGACATTTTGTATTCTTTTATGTGTTCTTGAGCTTTGGTCTGGAACAAGACTAATGTATATGGAAAGAATTTGATTGTTTTTGGTGGTCTTGCTTTTAGGATTTTTTTTTTTTCAGTACTGGAGTTAATCTGGGATTAATTTTTTCTCATTACTGAGGCAAAAAATTTTAACTTCTGCATGAGATGCCTCCTGAATTTGGTGGCTTGCTGGTGACTATTAGGAGCAGACAGTATCCCACCGTCCTGCAGGAGCCCTGGAGCTTGACCCTAGCCCTAAACCCAAGCCCAGCCCTAACCTCAGTCCTGTGGGACAGCCTCCAGGCTTCTGAGTCACCCCCTACCTGGTCTCCAGTGTTTCCTCACAGAAGGTGTGGGAGAGTGCTGAGTTCACTGCTCGGGTCGACCCTCTGCAGACCTGCAGAGTTCATCTGAGCAGCCGAGGGACATTGGCCCCCAAACTCCCCAGGCAGAAAGCTGGGGTGATGGGAGAGCTTGGCTTGTTATTTTCTCATGCCCAGGGGTGACCACCATTTATGTCCAATGCCCAGTGCCTTCAGAACTGTTGTTTCACATTGTTCTGGTTTTTTAAGGTATTTTCAAGGTGGGAGAGCAAAGCCAGTCCCCATTATTCCACTATTGCCATAAATAGACATCTGGGTTTTTATGTTAAAAAAAATTCTTACATTTTATTTTTTTAAAGATTTTATTTATTTATTTGAGAGAGAGAGAGAAAGCACAAGACGGGGGAGGGTCAGAGGGAGAAGCAGGCTCCCCGCGGAGCAGGGAGCCGGACGCGGGACTCGATCCCGGGACTCCAGGGTCACGGCCTGAGCCGAAGGCAGTCGCTCAACCAACCGAGCCACCCAGGCGCCCAAAAAAATTCTTAGATTTTAGCTAATCATATCAATGTCCACCACATTACATTATCATCATTACAATAATATTGATGTTTTGTTAAGTCCCGTTCTATATTCTAATAAAACTAACTTAAAAATAAATTGCTCAGTTAACTAACAAGGAATCCGTTTAGAATAAACATTAAGCAAAGTCAAGTTTTTTAAAAAAAGTTTTTTCAGTGTTCTTGAATATCTCCCAACTGTGTCAAAATTTATATTTTGAAAATTATACTGGTCCATAAAGGTGTTTGAGAAGTCACAGTTTTTACAACTTCCCGTGAAGCCCTACCTGCACGGCGTCTGGACCGTGTCCTGTGCTCTGTTTCAGGAGGCACGGCCACCAAACAGAGAGGCTTCCAGGGGTGCATCCGGTCCTTGCAGCTGAATGGGAAGGCGCTGGACCTGGAGGAGAGGGCACAGGTCACCCCGGGGGTGGAGCCCGGCTGTCCGGGCCATTGCAGCACCTACGGGAATCTGTGCCACCACGGAGGGCGCTGCCAGGAGAGGCCCCGGGGGTTCTCCTGTGACTGCGAGCTCTCCGCTTTCTCAGGGCCCTTCTGCACACAGGGTGAGTGTGAGTGCGGGCGCCACCAGGAAGGAGCCAGCCGGCCTGGGGAGTGTAAATCTTGAACGAAACCTCTTCTGAGCCGCTGTTTGATGAACGTGTTTCAGTTCCTAAATTCCTTCTGTAAATCACTCTTTTGTAGCTAATCTCATTTTATTGGAAAGAAATGTGACTCTACTCTTGAAAAGCCAGGGCCAACAACTGTGAAATCTAACACCAGTTCTGTGGTTTTCTTGAAATACTGTCTGTGTACCCTAAGTCCTTCTGCCCCACGCCTCTGCTCTAGCATGATATGTTATTAGAAGTCTGTCCTGGGCAGCCCTGCTTATTTCAATATTATTATTTAAAGTAGTGGCTTCAAGTTGTACGGGAAGAATTTTCCTCCAAAAATGCATTTTATTAGCATAATAAATACATTTCCCACTTGTATTAAGATGGCTGAAATAGAGCCTCTTAAACATTTTGCTCCGAGGTTTACTGATGGCCTCTTGTTACAGTGAAAATGACAGAATCTTTTTAGTCTCATTCTGAGAGGTCACAAGCCATTCGTTGAAATGACAGAGCTTAATTGTAGCACAGACGTAATTCTTGGAAGGTACTTATGAGGTTTATACTTCATAGATACTCACAGAATCTAAATAAAATCCATTATCACCAAAATAAATTCCAATGCCTCCTTTCGGGAATCTCTGAGCTGTTGCCTTTTGACCTTAAAAGCCTCGGGGTTTTGGAGCACAAACTAGGAAACCAAATTGGATCAGTTCTTGATTTTCAAAAGAATGAGCTGCCTGGAAATGGCCAGAACACAGTCACAGAAGCAGTATTTGAAGATAAATGTGTAATCAGTACCCCCATTCCAGGACATGCTTCACCTTCGCAGGTAAAATCCAAATGGGCACTTGCAGTCACATTAACAGAGTCAAGTGGCCACACCAACTCTGCTCCCAGAGCGCCAGGGCAGCAGCTCAGCTGCAGGGAAGGGAAGCCGAGCATTGGACGCAAGGAGACCAGACTGGATGAACGCCCAGATTTGCACGTGGTCTCTGCCTAAACCCGTGGTGGGGACGCACGTGTGCAGACTCAGGAAGACCTCCAGAGGCGGCCCAACTGCAGAGATGCAGGGGACGCCTGCCTGGGGACTGTCCCAGTCCTGAGACAGGACTGAAGTGGGAGTACAGGCATGCTGTCTGTCCACTGCAACAAACGGCAAGCAGCAGCAACCACAGAAAAACAGAAACAAGAACCAACAAAATTAAGAACACTTACAATGAGTTATCGACATTGTCGAGTTTTCAAAAGGTACTGAACAAGTAAAAAAAAAAAATCAAGAAATTATGTTGCATACTCAGGGGAAAAAATGTAGTTAATAAGAATTAACTCTGAAGAGGGACTTTTTTAAAAGTTTATTTATTTATTTATTTATTTTGGTTTCATCAGACAAAGACATCAAGTTGTGATTATAACATATTCATCAAAGGGAATAAAATTCAGAGAAACAAAGAAAATAGGTCATCAACAAATAAACAGATATGCAACTTCAACAGACCAATGAAAACCATATAAAAAACTGATAGGAATATTAGAGCAGAAAAATACAATCACTGAAATTTTAAAAAATAATTATAACCAGATGAGCTCAACAGGGGAAGGAACCTGTAAACTTGACAATAAGACAATAAAAATCATTCAATTGGAAGAATAGAGGGAAAAAAATGAAAAAATTTTGAAGAGTCTCAAAATCCTCTGACAATACCAATAATTAAATATTTTAATTCCAAACAATCTTTGAGTCAAAGGACTCATAAATGAAACTAAAAAATATTTTAATTAAATATAAAAATATACCATATTAAAATTTGAGTTATACAACTAAAGTATTACTTAAGGGGAAATTTATGACTTTAAATTATTTTATTAGAAAACAATACAGGTATAAAATCAATTACATAGTTTCCAATTTAGGAATTTAAAGAAAGAACAAAATGAAATCTGAAGAAAGTAGAAGATATAATAAAGATAAAGCAGAAACTAATGAAATAAAAAATAGACAAAGAAGAAAAATCAATGCAATCATGATTGAAATCACTAGCATTATACAACTACATCAATGCAATTAAAAGCTAATTCATAGAAGAGATCATTAAAATTGATAAATTTCTGACTAGATTCTCAAGAAAAAAGTAAAAGGACACAAATTATAAGTGTTAAAAATAAAAGATACCAAAGCAGATGTTACAAAAATTAAAGGGATAACAATGAAATATTATGAACAGCATTATGACAATAAATTTCCTGACTTATATTAAATGGACACATTTCTTGAAAAACACAAATTACTAAACAAAGCATAATAGATATAAAATCCCCATAACCTATAACTACCACAAAAATTGAATTTCTAATTAAACATCCCACAATGAAAATTCCAGGACCAGAAGGTATTTGCTAGTAATTTCTACAGGAAAAGATAATTCCAGTCTGATGCAGGCTGTTAGAGGACAGAAAGGAGGAGAGAATATTTTCCAATGCAATCCATGAGCCTTCTAAGTCTGACACTAAAATCAAGCAAAGACTTTACAAGAAACCAAACAAAAAAACTACAGAAATATACTCATGAATACTGACACAAAAACACTTAATACAAAATGAGCAAATCAAATCAAACAATAGAAAAAAAATATGAATAAGTGGGATTAATCCAAAAGGTACGCTGCTGATTTAAGTTTTTAAAAAAATCTCAAGAAAGTCATTATATCAACAGAATAAAAGAGAAAAAACAGAAAAGTTTCAAAATATACAGAAAATGCATTTGACAAAATTCACTATGAAATCTAAGAATATAAGGAAATTTCCCAACCCAACAAAGGATACCTAACATCATATCACTAAGATATTTAGTGGTGCAAGACAGAATGTTTTCCCTATGAGACTGAAGAAAGCAAAGATTTCTATTCCCATCACTTCTTTTCAAAATGCTTGCGGTCTTAGCCATTGCAATAAGACAAGAAAAGGACATAAATATTGTACACATTAGAAAGAAGAAATAAAACTCTCTTTAATCATAGAGGATATAATTATCTATATAAAATATAGAGAGTTCACAAAAACCTACTAGAATTAATGAGGGAGTTTAGTAAGGTCACAGAATACAAAGTCACTATTATAAAATTCAACTTAATTTTTATGTACTAGTTATGAACAACTGGGACAAATTTAAAAATAAAATTGTATTTGCAATAGAATCCAAAAAAATGAAATATTTACAGATAAATAGAACAAATAAGTGTAAGATCTCTACACTGAAAATTACTAAATCAACATCTAAAGAAATGGATGAATATACCATGTTGATGAACTGGATCACTCATTATTATTACTATATCATTTATCCCCAAATTGATCTATGGATTCAGCGCTCCCTTCAAAATTTCAGCAGAATTGTAAATTAATTCTAAATTTTATATGGAAATGCATAAGGCCTTGGATTTCCAAAGTATTTTAAAAAGAATAAGTTATGGTGAAAAGAATAGAGAATCCATAAATGGGTTGACACTTAACCCACACTCTATATAAATATTAACTTGAGGCAAAAATAAAAAATAAAAAATAAACATAATGTATGATTCCATTTATATGAAATTCCAGAATTAATTTAGAGTAACAGAAAGCAAATCAGTGGCTGCTGAGCATGGGGCCTAAGGAAGAAACTGATTGCCAAAAAGCGTAAAGGGCAGAAGAAAATTGGAAATGTTCTGAATATGGACTGTGGATGGTGCTTTGTGTGTGCTCATCTCCTAAAACTCTGCAAATTTTACATTTTAAGTGGGTGTGTTTATTGCCCCTAGTTATACCTCATTGAGCTCCACTAAAAAGGTATTTTTCCCCTTCTGTATGGCTCTTTAGCCATATCCACTAAGTGCAACCTGAAGGTCCTCTTGCAGGCAAACATTACCTTAAAGGCTGACCTCGTCAGTGAGCAGGAAACAACTCTGAGGTGGTCTGGGAGTGGGTGTGCGAGGTGGTGATGCGATGGCCATGCTGGGAGGGGGGCACCTGCTGCGGCCATGGAGATGCATAGACTCCCAACAGCTAAACCACCCATGCCCTGCCCCCAGCCACATGCACACATACATGTAGGGCCCCATCTTATGTAGAAGGCCAAGGACACACTCTCATAAACTGTTAGGGAGGATCTTGGACAGTTTCTGGCCCCTGCACCACTTCCTTCTCTCAAGTTCACAGTGATACCGCCAACACAGCTTTCCTTTTCCTGTAAAATATCGATACGAGCTGACACTTGTTGGTGGTCGTTGGTGGGCAAGTGGCCTTCCACTTCTACCTTTCATCATTGTTGGGTGAGACTGCTACCTGCAAAGCAAAAAACTAACACCAAGGAAAATGCAGGAAGGAAACAGAAGCTCAAGCAGATGTCTGTGCCTATTTAGGCCACGTTCCACTGAGGAAGGAGCAGAGGTAGTTTTAATGCTCACACTTACTGAGGGCTGCCCTAAAGCCCCAACAACCAACCGTGCTATTCATTTCTGAGATGTGTGAATGCTTGTTACATCATTCTCTGCTCTTTTATTGATTAAAATGTCCTAGAAATTAGAATACTTCAAATGTCCATAAGTATACCTAAAATTAGCCCTCAATCTTTTCTAACATAAACATATGCCTATCATTTCAGAGATTTCTGCACACTTTGGAGCTGGGTCCTCAGTGACTTACAATTTTCATGAATTTTATCTGTTAAGTACAAACTCCAGCCCCCATGCTGCTTCATTTCATGGGGACATGGCTTTAGCTAGAGAGATGATCACATTCAGTTTCCAAACACTGCAAACCCCAAGCTTGCTGCTCTACGTGGACTCCTTCTACAATGAATACCTCTCTGTTATCCTGGCCAAAAATGGTGAGTCTCATTTGAGTGTTAGAAATGTAAATTGTGTCGTTAATACTGTACAGGTGGAGTGTTCAGTGTCCAAGCCTCTCAGATTAGAAACAAGGAAAAATTTTCATACTCTGCAAATGCCAGTTTGTTTTATTTTGCTTTGTTTTCCAGAACTGCAAAAATATTGTTTCAGATGTATCATTTCAGTAATTATATTAAGATTCTTCTAGAAAATTTTTTATGAATTTGCATTATCTCAGGTAAACAGAAATGTTATTATCACTGGAAGCTCTTCATTGGAAGTATAATGTGTCTAGTTATATGTAGAAAATATTTCCTCCTTCTAAGCAAAGGGAAGAAGAATTAAGGTGGGTGTTAACACAGTAAGGTCATGCAAAAATGACTGTCCATGAGCACCAGATAAACCTTGGTTTTTTACTCTGTCCGTGGTTCTGAAGTTAAATTTTCCATATCCACTGAAAATGGAAGGTACAATCACACCAATCAGTCAACAACTATGCTTCCAGTGGGGAAATAAAGCACAGCTTTAGGCATTTCAAATAGAAAGTCAGGGCACTAATTCAATATCTGGGAAAACTTGCAAATCTCTCTGGCTGGCAGGATTTGGGCAGAGCCCACATGATGGGTAGAAGCATGAAGCTGCACCTTTGTGGAGCAGGTCACACTGAGCCATGGGGATCTTGTGTGCTACAAAGAGCTTATTACTATATTTCACTTCTGCATCATGCCTGCAGATTTTAGAAATAAAACCTCCAGTGTGTGCATAAACAAATAGATTTGTTTATATAAAAACAAAAATAAACAACATGCTGCCAAGCATCTCAAATATGACCCCAAGTAAGAATGGTGGCAGACTTAAGCTACAAACCACCTGAATGGCAGGAACGTTTCATCATCTCATGGGAAGGAACCCTGGGAAGGGCACAATGGGCTCCCCACCAGTGAGAAAGCAAGGAGAATTACCTCTAGGGGTGCCTTTGGTCGAGTTCACTAACCACTGGTCAGCCTCACCATCTGCAGTATCTTCCGTGGCCCCTCAGGCCTCCAATAGCCCCTGGCTGCATGACAGCTCCCAGGGCCAGCCATACTCTCTTGTAACTCACATTTCGGATTTGGGAAATAAGACCAAAGAAGACCAGACGAGGAAGACAGAAGCTTCAGCATTCCTTAATGCTCCTTTTGCAAAGATGGAGCAGAATTCAGACATTAGCATGTGATAGAGTGGGTGCTTTCTTTCAGAGAATTGAGAATTGTGGGAAAGAGCACTCTTATTAATACCTTATCTTGAGTTAAAAATGGTGTCATCAGAATGGAGACCAGCAAGATGCTTCATATGAACCGTGAATAGACTCAAAGCACAAAATGTTGTTCTTAGAAGCAATGGAATAATAATCACTTCTCTGGAGTGTAGAAAGGCAGCTTTTAAAACATTTTGTTGTTTAAATATCCTATATTTTTCTGTTCTAGGGAGTTTGCAGATTAGGTACAAGTTAGATCTACATCAGGATCCTGACGTCTTTAACTTTAACTTCAAGAATATGGCGGATGGGCACCTTCACCACATGAAGATCAACAGAGAGGAAGGAGTGGTCTTCATAGAGGTAAGAGCATCATCAGCCAAACAGTGATTAACCTCCTACTTCCCCACCTGCTATGTGTCACTTACAGTAATATTTTGATAATGAAGCATAATACAAAGTTTCCTTCTCTATGTTAATCTCTCATGTGCTGCACACAAGAAATCATAGTCCAGGATTTTTATTTATTTAGTAATGGAAACCTGCCAAATACAGTATAAAATTTAATTACTTAAATTTTCCCTCATTTATTTTAATTGACTTGTTATGAAATGTTGTCTGTGGTTAACAGGTGGAGTATTTGTAAATGATTCTCCAGTGGGAATCCACAAGAGTACAAATGTTATGACAATTAAGGATATGATTTATATAAAATACAATTATGATTAAAATGTGCATAACTAACAAAATAGACTTGAGTCATTGTAGAGTAAGTGAAATTACATACTGTCAGCACTTTTGAAGAAAAACATTAGTGTATTTGTTCTCTACGTGGAATAACCTACTTTGGCTTTTACTCTTTAGGCTTTATTTTGAGATATGTAAAAGCTTTGGATGTTTGCATTTTTTGTGGGTTCTACCAAATACAGGTCATTCATCTTGTGTCAGGAAGTGATAAGGACCATGCAGAACACAGGGGGCAGGGGGTGGGGGTGGGCAACAGAGATCTGAGACACCATGAAAATTGCTCATGAACTAGCACTCCACTGTCAGATGACGAGTTTCTTAACATGGGGTTTTTCCATCAGGTGTAACCCTACGTTCCTTTTCTAGTGAATCATTTCCATTCCATGACCTCCCTTTGCTTCTTGCCATGTCACTGACAACTGACAGATGTATTGGTGTTTGCTTCTCGTGAGGCAGGTGGACCAGAAAGCCCGGAGCCAAGTGAGCCTGTCGTCTGGCACAGAATTCAATGCCGTCAAATCCCTCGTGCTGGGCAAGATCTTAGGCAAGTAGACGCAGAGCTCCCCACCCCGTGCCCCCTCCCTGGGTCACAGTGTCATGCCACTAACACAGAAGCAAGCTCCTTGTTTTATTTTCATTAGATCATTCATGCCGATCAAGGCAGAAACCCTACTGGATCTGGGTTGCCCATAATCATGAGAACACACTTCCTACAGACAAGCAAGTAAATAGCATTAAGAACAGCTACACACTCTTGTCCCTTGTTCTGTCGTTAGCACAAGGACTGTGGAGACTTTCTGACCTCAAACTGTACTGAAGGATATCGGTCCAAACAGAAACAGAGTTCATAGGTCCAGAACCCTACCCAGGATGATGTGTGAAGGGGGTCTGTAGAGAGCACACGTCTGTGGTCCGTGTGCTCATGATGGTGCCCGGGCAGTGGTGCACGGATGCTCCTTGCCTGGCTACCACGCTCACCAGAACAGCGTTTCATGCAGCCTGGTCTCCTCGGCCACAGCCTGGGCATCAATGCAGAGCAGTGGCATCTAGGGGTTGGGTGGGCACTCTTTCCATCCCCCCATCCCCAGGTATTCAAGTGAAAGCAGGTAAGACTTAGGAAGGCTTGCTTTTTAGTTATGAACTGTAAACACCATGGCTTTTCACATATTACTTTGGGAAATGGTCTCCAGTTTGTTTCCTATCCCTTGTCTTGTTTGGGCACTAACGGGATAGACTTTATCCAAGGTAATGATTTTTCCATTGCTTCCTTTTTTGTATCTATATTCCTGAGTCTTTCACATGTTCCTCATATGTAATTTCAAAGTCCTGAGCATGCGAGTGTACACATGGGTAGACGATAAAAGTATAAATCACTGAAAAGGATGATAGCTAGGTTTTTAACTCTGTGTTAATGAGTTAATATGTTTTCCAACACTATGTTGGGCATTAAAAGGATGCATTCCCATTCTTCAGTCAACATTGAAAATGTCATGAATTGTAATGTTCTAACAGTTTCTATTTAATAGAAGAAAAGTAACCTGTGAAAAGTCCTATTTATATAGTGCAAGTTTAATTGAAAATCCAAACCAAGCCAGATAGATAGAGCCTGGTTTGAATATTATATATATATAATATATATATAATTTTTCAGTTAAACTTGCATCATATGAGAAGGCAAATTTTACATAAATGCACATATATTTTATACATACATATAAAACTTAATTTCAAGATAAACCTATAATGACAAAGTTGATTTAAAATGGCGATTCTGAACACTTGGTTAAAACACTGATGATCCCGTAGTGGATAAGCAGATTGCGTGTGGAGCCCTGATGGTGTCCATTCCACGCTTCGGGAACAGGGCCGGGGCTCCCACAGAACACACCAACAACAAAGCAGAGTCATTGTTTCTCATCCCAAGCCCACAGTCCAACGATCACTGACTGACCTCAGAGCATCCCAGGTGGTCAACACGCGTCAAAGACGGCCGCCCCAGGGTGGCTACGCCCTAGCAGGAGGGTCCCGGGACACAGGGCATGTGTACAGGACAAGCGTGGACACTGCAGCGTGGACACAGCATCCACACTGCAGAGGACTTGAGAAGTGGACAAACATTTGAAGAAGGGGAGAGTCACCCACAGCTTCGGGCTGGATGTGACTGAGTATTGGGCTCCAGGACAGGGGTCGGGGAGAACAGACCACATAGGGCCTTGTGGGCACCACAGTCCAAGAACTGACTTTACTCCCATGAAACGTGGTGCTGCTGAGTCCGTGGTCCGACCCTGCTGCTGGGGCGAGGGAGACGGGCCCCATCGGAGATGCTGGCCATGACCCACACTGGCAGCAGAGGGAGGGACCGGAGGGGAGGCGGGAGCACTCCTGGGGGGGGGCAGGGCAGGTGAGGCCCAGCTCTGCACCTGCTGGAACTGGGGCGTCTGTCAGACGCTGGCGTGGTCGAGCGGGGCGCACAGCCACTGGTGTGTGTGATGCCTGTCCTTCACAGTCCGCAGGGCGGAGGGGAGATTGGCTGACACGTGGACTTTCATTTCCTCCCTGATAGCAGTTTGCATTTTATTCCATTTTCAACTATGGCACCGAATCAGTCTTTAATCCTAAACAATCAAAAGCCCACGGACTGTCCCACCCTCTCCTGCTCGACAGCCCCAGCTTGGGGCCGTCTGGCCCCAGGGACCCCACTGTGTGGGAGGTGGAGCGACCCAGGCCCCATCCTGTGCCCCACCGAGCTCATCCCCTGGCCCTGTGGCTAGTTACTGGTTTTGCCTGAACTAAGCGAGCATCTGATAATCCCAGAGATGTCCAGGTTCTGTGACCCTAACCCAGGCCAAATTTTTGTTGAATTGCTGCTTTCCATGCTTGGGGGGATGGAGGCAGTCTTCTTCCAGTGAGCTGAACGATCACCCATTGAGAGAGCACGTACTGACCGCCAATGTCCAATAAATTACTGCAGCTATTATGCAGACGTGGCCCCAAAACACACAAATTCTTGTCCTCAAAACTCCACAGCCTAAGCTCAAACAGGGAGTATGCAAATAAGTTAACAAAGTTCATACACATTAAGCATTGTTTAAAAACGTTGACGTTATTTTTAAAAATACACCTTATGTTCAAAAACAACACTGAAGTTAGTGGGCAAAGAGGCCCCGTGACGTAGCAAAGTGTTGTCTGACCAACCAGGGAAGTGGCCCAGGTCACACAGAGCTCAGCAAATGAAAGAAATATGCAGTACATCCCTTCAATCACGTGGGTAAAGAACTTTGGGGCGGAACGGAATGTACTGATGCTTCCACACGAATTCCGTGTCCATCAGCATATTATTCAGGCTCTAAAGTACAGTTGATGCTCAGGCCAAGCAGTGGAGTTTACAGCTGAAGCAACAGGGAGTCATGAAATTTGAAATAAAAATTCATTTACCATATGCCCGAGGGCACAGATTCTGACCAAGGTCTAATGACACTTCCCACGTCTTGATAATTTTATTTGAAGATTTGTCTTGCCAGAAGCCGAATAAAACTTCCAAAGCATTCTGCAAGCTCTGTGTTCTGGGCAGGCAGCATGAGGTGCCTGGTTACAAGGGCTCCCGGGGTGGGCCACAGGGCGCTTATTCCCAGAGACGCGTCTAACACCGAGGGGAGATGCCAGTGTTTCTCCCGGAGCCCAGCGGTTCCTGCTTCAACCATTCCCTCCGCCAACACTGGGTGAGTGTCTCCAGTGTGTACTTTAGTGGCAGTGTCCCCATCCGGCGACCCAAGTCATCCTCGTGTGCACTGGGGTACCCCAGACAGAACCGTCCAGGGTCCTCATTGGTTAAAATACGCATCTAAGTGTTACCTCTCTGACGGGCTTCACTTGATGGTACGCGCTCTGGTCACATTTTCTCAGATTCCATATGATCATTTCAGAGTAAGAAGCCTTTAAAAGTCAACTCTTCAGATCTCAGATTTTGTAGCTCTGAATATGATCAAGAACGTGCGCATGACGCACGGAAGCTCTGAAAATGCTCTCCCTTAGTCAGAGTGTTAAGTAGGTGACACTGAGGAACATTGGTCATCAGGACGCTGTCCATGCTGAGTACATGAGCCATAAAACAAACAGCAAAATCTAAGTGTAGACAAAGAAAAGACTAATTCTTTGGAAGGAAAGGCAGTCTCCCCTCTGGGAGGTTGAAGTAACGAAAAATGTGGTCTACAGTGGTCCCAGCCCAGGATGGTCACGCTCCAAGCCCAGTGTGCCCCATGGCGGTGTGTGGCACCATGAGCAGGCGCCGACCTTGCCTCTTCAGGTGCCCGTGGAGCCTGCCTCCCGCATGCTGTGGACGACTGAGCCCCGTCAGCTCCTTCAGAAGAAACCCCATGGAGAGGACGCATGAGGATGTGGAGGGTGGTCTTGAGAGTGTGCCCTGGGCGCAGGGACTTCTCCCGGTCTCCTCAGCCCAAATGGGAGCTGTGGCCAGGAAGCCCGAGCTCCTCTGTCTGCTGGTGTGGGGCCAGCTACCTGCCCTCCCTGGGCTCTGGTTACTCATCTGTCAAATGGGATAATCAGGTAAACCATGTCTCAGAGGCTGTTAGGAGCACTCAGAGCAGTGACGGGTGCTTCCATGGATTATCTAAATTTTCACAGAATAAGTAAAAATCGGGGTAGATTATTTCTAAGATTCTTCTCAAAGATTAAATCGTATAATATAAACAACTAGCCATTTGAGATAACAGATACCCAGAGGTATCTTCAGAACTGTGAGACAGTCTGCCTATTGTCCCTGGAGTTTCATGGCTCCAAGCGAACGATACTCTGATGCGTTCCAGATGTCTCCGTTTAACCGTAGGTCCGGTAGGACAGCCGTGTTTCCTGAACCCATTAAGTATGACATGCACAGAGAAAAGTGTAATAATTCTCAGTGCACAGCTGGGAGAACCTGGACAAAGGGAACTCAGTTTGATCAAGAAGAGAAGGTGACCAGTGTCCAGCAACCCCCGGAGGGTCCCCAGCTGGGAGCAGTGCAGACACAGCCCGCACATCTCCAGACTTAACAGGGAAGGGCGGTGCCGTGTGTGTGTTTTGTGTCCGATTTTTTCCTTCCGCTTTAATGCCCATGAGCGAAACCCCTCAGTCTTTTGTTGGCTAGGCTTTGGTGGAAGGGGTGCCAGAAGCCTCAGCTGCTGCCTTTGTAATCACGCGCTCCAGAAACTCTCTCCCAGAGCACACTCTCCACACCACTTCCAAGGCCTACAACCTGGTTTTTCTTCCAGACCGTTTCTGGAAGGATTTGTTCTTCAGAACAGTGGGAGCTGCTGCTTTCAGGAAACACACAGCTAACTGATAAACAGGCAAAACTACCTAAGAATTTAAATGGCTGGGAGTTCTACAACCTGAGATTTCAGAAACTTGATTTTGTCTCAAGAATTGGATTTAGAGTTTGTTCTTGAGAGAAAAGATTGTACAATAGCAAAATTTAAAATAACGCAGCCAGTTCTCCCTAAAATCACAGAGCAGAGTAAATGCCGGGGCCCCACGCCCACGCCCCAGCCCTGACTCGCCGACTCTAGCGGGTGATCACTGCCCACTGCTCCCCCTTCTCCCTCCCTGGGGCCCTTTCCCACTGCACCTGTCATCGGCCTGGTCTCTCAAGAGAGCGAACGACACTGAGGATGGCCAACAGAGCTTCGTGTGCACATTTCTCTGAAAACACACACATATAGGGCAGGTATGTGCACACGCAAAAGACACATTAAGGATGAAAAAGGTTAAAGCTAAAGAAAGCATTCATGGTGCAGCTCAGGGCATCAATAGGGAAGATGCCTGTTTGGGCCTCTTGTGGCACGACTGTTAGGTCAGCCTGGCGAGCTAGCAGGCAGGGTGGGGATGAGCCAGCTCCTGTGGGCATCTCCTCCTGGGCTGGAGGGAACCTGGACCAGCACGGAGAAGGCCCAGCTGTGGGTCCTGGAACACCGAGGGGCCTGAGCTTGTCTCCAGGGGTCCAGCAGGATGCATCCAAGAGCAGAGGCAGCTGAGGATCTTTGTAGCGACGCTGCCAGCCAGGGTGTCACATCCCGGAAGTACAACCCCACACCCCAGGGGCTCTGACAGAGAGAGAGAGAGGGCGGAACACCCACCACTGTCTCTGCAACATGGAGCTGTCCAAAGGACAGGCGCTGCTTGCGCACACTCGGAAGAACGAGGTCTGAATCGGGAGCAGCTGTGGGGACTCCAGCTGCAGAGTCGGTGGATGACCCCAAGCACAGCTGAGTCCCCACTGATGCTGGAACTTGAGCAGAAACCCGCAACCACCGGCCAAACCACAGAGGTGATGGAGGAAGCCCCCAGAGGATTGCTCTGATGCTCGTCTGTAAACTGAATGGAGCCCGGGGATGAGGAGGGGGGACCACAGCGGGAGCAGCGACCCTTCACGTAAGAACAAACTGCTTGGAGACACGACCTACACGTGCTCAATAAAGCTCCTGTCCTGTCCCTGCCCCATACCGTGCCCACTACGTGCGCTCACCCCCCACGCCCCACAAACACGCCCCATTAACCGCCCGCCCACCACCCGCACCCCACTAACCGCGCTGTCTCCCGCAGAGCCCGGCGGCCACGTGGATGAAGACACCAGGCAGGCTGGCGCTCGAGGCTTCTCCGGCTGCCTCTCCGCCCTGCAGTTCGAGCGCGCGGCCCCGCTGAAGGCTGCACTGCATCCCGGGCGCTCCGGGCGCGCCTCGGTGCAGGGGCCGGTGGCCTCGTCGGAATGTGGGGCCGGACCAGGAGGCGGCGCAGCGCGAGAGCACACGCACGCGAGAGCAGGTGCGCGCCCTGTCCGGCCACAGCGAGCCCCCGGGGCCGGGTGGGTCTGCACTCAGCCGGGGCCCCTGAAATCTCAACCCGCAGCTCCCTTGACTAAGTCTTTTCTTCTTCTTCTTTCTTCTTCTTCTTCTTCTTCT